TGTGCTCATTTTAAAAAAAGAAAATAATTGTATACATCACCCCTCCTCCTGTGTTTTTATTTATCCCTCCCTTTTCTTCCACAACCTTACTCTATGTTTCAACTCAAGGACAGAGAATAAAAATACTGTCTTATTTTTATAAATTTCTGCACAAACAAAGTGCACGCGCACGCACACCAGGCCGGTTGCAGGTCCAGGGCCTTTGTATTTTCTGACCAAGTGTAGAAAATACTTCATTTTTAAATTTAAAAAAGACTTTATTTTTTTAAACGAAGCTTTAAAATTACTTTTTAAAAGGACAGATTCATGTTTTTAACTTCAGCCATGCAAACACACCTGCTTGTTGGCACCGTGGCTTCTCTGTTTCGTGCGCAGATCCTTCTGGTGGACGGGACGCTGTGAAGAAGGTACGTGTGGAGAAGGTAGAGACTGGTTTTTAAGAACAGGTGCACCACACCTGTAATAGGTATGAATGTAGAGGACAAATTTCAAATAGTCATTGTTTATAGTCCTATTTCAAATAGCCAAATGGGTGCTGAACCCTCAGAGCTCACTGGGGAAAGAGCTCTTCTGAGGACCTGCTGTGGGGCATGGGACACCCTGAGGGCTCTGCTCAGCAGTGCCATTTGTGATCAAAAGCCAGTATTCACTGGAAGATAAAAACCAGTCTTTTCTACCCCTCCATTGACTCTGAGCACAATTTTTGAAACATTTCCACAGAAATGATAGACAACCCTACCACACCTCCAGACAGGCCTTTGAAAAAGCTCATAGACATTTGGGCATATAAGTCTGTTATCTTCATTTTAAAATAACAAGTTATATGAAACTTAATGGTTTTAAACACAGATTAAATTCGTTGTCGCTTCCCTTTGATCTTCTAGCAATATTTACATATTTAGTAATTTTGAATGTTTATCCATCTTTATACCAATGAAATTTTATATGAAGTGTATATTCTGTTTGAATTGATGCTGAGGAGAAAATGTTATAGTTATATTTTGAGAACTAAACTTTGACCAAATAAAGCTTTCATATAAATACAGGTAAAAATATTTTTTTAGGTTGCCTTTCAATGCAGCTGCTTCTCCTGTGGCCCAGCACCCCCTGCTGGTTATTGGCAGAACTGTCCTGCCTTCATGGATGTCAGTAAGTCTGATAATGGAAAACTATATCTCACTTTTCATTTTTTCTGAACTTAAGTGAAAAGCAAATTATTTTTCTTTTGTGCAGAAAGTATTTATTGTTCAAAAATAGCTTTTATTGCTTAGTTGGTCCCTGCATCTATCTTTGATTTTTTTTATTTGAATGCCAGTCTCTCTATCCATTTTATTCCTAGTCACAGGGAAGACCAAAGACACACCCCCTTTGAGGTCTTAGTGAAAGTGCACACACTTCTAAATTTATGAGCTCCAGTGAACTGTACGAGCATCTCGTTTAGCGCCCCTGCAGTCAGAAGTTTTTTTTCTGTTTTTTTTCTTCCTAGGACAAGTATTATAGAACCAAAACTCTAATGCTAACTTACTACCACAAAGGAAATGTTCTTTTACTAAGTTATTGCTGGTTCAAGAGTATCTTGTTGAATAACTGGGTCTGTAACCAAGAAAGGAAATTGTATTCCTTACCATGTTTTAAGTTGTTAAGCAAATGTGAATAATTTTTTTAAAGAAAAAAAGAGGCTTACTCAGATTTGTACGCTATTCAGAATTTTAGGAGTTATGAACTGCTTGGAATAACTGCTTGGTTGTATTTTTCTACCCAGGTCTATACTTCTGCCATTTTCTTAAAGAAGCAAACAATATTGTATTACATGTTAAAGTTTTCTTGGTTTTATATATCAAAGAATAAAAGCATTTTCTTTGCTTTTAATGGTATTCTTCAGTTGTGTTCTAAATAACAGAGGCAACATCAGTGCTAACAAAAAGCAGAGATAAACTTATAGCTCAGGTGGGATGCCTGGAACACTTACCATGTGTCTGTCATGGGTCTTGTATGTATGATGCAAGTATACAGACATACTGCCATGTGAGTAATATCAAGTGTATCTACTCAGCAAAATTATGGCAAGAACTTGTCAGCTTCTCGGGCTCTGATCCTACATCTTCTGGTTCTGAACTCCCTGATCCTGCAGTACAGACATAGCACAAGTTACGACTTAGGGTTGGGGGCTCCATAGATTACTGCTTCATCTCTAGCATCAGACAGAGGCTTGCACATATATATATGGAGAATATATGGAGAATAAATCATAATGTTAATTTCAGGGAAGAGGCGGGAGAAAGTGTCACTGGCAATCCCATCTCCAGAGGCAGTGCAGGGGGTGTGACTGGGCCTGGCAGATAGAATTTTTCAAACTTGCCAGATTTGATGAGGCTTTTTTTCAACAAACATTAAATATGTGTCTAGACAGAATTTTTTTTTCTTCTGTCTTCTGTCCCCTTGCTTGTCCACCTCCCCAGACAGTCTCCAACCCTCGACTCCTGGGGCAGGGTGGGGGAGCCATGGGGGCATCTTCACCTCTGTGAACATCCTGGAAATGCTGCAAAGTCCATACCTGCAGCCTTTTTGTTTAGTGAGTGTAAGCAGAGCAGGAACAAAACAGTTCCAGAACACTTTTATGAGGCTGGTTTTGGCAGGAGCACTTGTTCCTATAAGGTCCTGCTTGTTTCCTTACACTCAAGTTTCAAAGGTAATAAGGGCATTTAATTACTTGATTATCCTAGAACTTTGCTATTGGGAGTGATCAACAGCCAACCAGATGACCTGCTCTCTGCTTCTTGAACTCCCAAGAAAATTTGGCACATTCAAGCAGCCCCTCAACAATGACAGCAACAACTCTACAGTGACTTCAACGGTCAGTTCAATCTAATCACTTTTCCAACTGTCACACTGTTAGATGACGCACCACTTACATTTTTAAACAACGAAATGAATACACATTAACTTTGGAAAATTTGCAAAAATACAGAAAAACACAAGGAAGAAAACCATTCCTAACCTCATCACCCATGTGTGACTGGGGCCTTACTGCACATCATTTATTTGCGACACGTGTACTTCATAGTTGAGCCATACTGGTTGGTACCTACGACACTGAGTATGAGTAAAAAGCACATGAGTACATTTGTACACCCATGTTCATGTTCATGGCGGCATTACCCACAGTAGCCAGAATATGCAAGAAACCCTGGTGTCCATGGGCAGGTGGATGGCTAAGAAAAATGTGTCCATCCACACAATGGAACATTATTCAGCCTTAACAAGGAGGAAACCCTGACACATGCACATGGATGAACCTGGAGGCCATTATGCTCAGTGAAATAAGCCACAAGACACATACTGCATGATTTCCTTTATGTGAGGTACGTAGACTCATCAAAATCAGACATCTTCCTGTGCTGTCACAATGGTGTGTGAATGTCCTGGCTGACACTCTCAAGAGCACCAACAACACCGAAAAGAGAGGCAAACGTCAGGTTCTTATTAAGCCATGCTATAAAGTTGTCATCTGGTTTCTAACTGTGATGATGAAGCATGGTCACATTGGCGAATTTGAAATTACTGATGACCACAGAGCTAGGAAAATTGTGAACCTCAGGGGGCAGGTTAAACAAGTGTGGAGTGACCAGCCCCAGATTTGATGTGCAACTCAAAGATGAGGAAATTCTGGAGATGATGGTGGTGATGGCGATACAACCATGTGGATATACTTAGTGCTACTAAGCTGTGCTAAAGATAGTTAAGATGATAACATGTTAAAAATATGTCTTTATTGATTTCAGAGAGAGAAAGGGAAAGGGAGAGAGAGAGATAGAAACATTAATGACGAGAGAGTCATTGATTGGCTGCCTCCTGTACACCCCATGCTGTGGATCAAGCTCGCAACCCGGGCATGTGCCCTGACTGGGAATTGAACTGGGATCTCCTGGACCATAGGTCGATGCTCAACTGCTAAGCCATGCCGGCCAGGGAAGATGGTAAAGTTTATGTAAATTTCGCCACAATAAAAAAAATTGGGGGGCCCTGGCCAGTTTTCCTCAGTGGTTAGAGCACTGGTCTGTAGACTGAAGGGTCTTGACTTTGATTCTGGTCAAGGGCACCTACCTCGGTTGCAGGCTCGATCCCTGGCCCCAGTCAAGACAGGTGTGGGAGGCAATCACTCTCTCTAAAAAACAATGGAAAAAATACCCTTGGGTAAGGAGAAAAAAAAGGGAGGAAAAGCAAATGAGTGAAAACTTCTAGTTGTAAGCACTGTAGGGTTCTTAGTTGATTTGTTCACTGAGGCGCCTCCCTCTCTTTTCAGGGTGCCTGTGTACAATCATTCTTTTGCACACTGTCCTGTTTACCTGTGGTCTGATAACTTTAGGACCCAAAGTAAAGGGAGCAGTCAGTCACTTTGGGGTCCTTGTTTGAACTGTCTTTTGATGATGCCCGGATTACAGGCAGACCCTGCTTTATTGAGCTTCACAGGTTTGAATGTTTTCTTATGTTAACAGTCTCAATAGGATAAAGGTCTTTTTAATAACAGGGCTGTCAATACCCAGAATGTGCTGGGTGCATGAGGAGAGGCACCGGGGAGTAGTAGGCTCCCATCCCTGCAGTAGCTCCCATACAGGCTTGGTGCCCATCTGCCAGGGGTGTGCTGGTCTTTAACCCTAACCCTTGGCCTCTACTAGTTGGATTACATGCCTCTGACTCTGTTTCCAACTCCTCCAGGTTTTAAGGAGGCCCATATTTTGTGCCTACCTCTCGGGATACTGGCCTCCTCTCACGATAGTTCCTGCCTCTTGTGATAGTCCCTGCTTCTCTCAATATTGGCCGCCTCTCGCGATAGGTCCTGCCTCTCACGATACTGGCGTCCTCTCACGATAGTTCCTGTCTCGCGATACTGCCTGTCTTTCCCGACAGTTCCTGCCTCTCGTGATAGTTCCTGCCTCTTGCGACAGTTCCTGCCTCTCGTGATGGTTCCTGCCTCTCATCATACTGGCTTCCTCTCGTGATAGTACGTGCCTCTCACAATACTGGCTTCCTCTTGAGATAATGGCTGCCTCTTGTGGTAGCGCCTGGTTAGGAAGCTGTCTGTTAGATAGTAGCTGTCTTTTGTGATAGTGCTCAGCGCTATGACCCTTGACCTCTGACCATGACCCTTGACCTTTGACCGTTTACCTCATGCTTACTGTGTGTCATCATGGCATCATTTTATTGTATCTGATTTACTGTAATGACATACTTTTTGCCATTTAAGTTAGATTAGAATTTTAGAGAATCAGACAGGATAAAAGTTAAGGTTAGAGTTGAAATTGGGGTCAGGAGGTTGGGGATGTGATGAGTTAAGGGTTTGGATTGGTTTCAGAGGACAAAGAGTAAAGGGTAAAGTTCAAAGGTTCAGCATCAGGGGTTAAGGATCAAAAGCCAAGGGTCAAAGGCCAGGAGTAAAAGG